GAATCCTACATTTCAGGCTAAGAAAATGAAGATATAATACCCCAGTCATGACCCTCAGATTAGAATATTTATATTTTCAAATTATTGGTTATGGGTAACGAAATTAAGACTGATATTTTGTATGCTCCTAAACATTCCTATCCTTTAGTCTTTGTTATTGGGTATGTTTTTTTTATTTTTGCATTGTTAAACATTGTTTCAAATATTCGAAAGAAGTGCACAATATATCGTTACTGAATTATTATTTTTGGAATGATAATGTTTCAAATACTAGTATCTTAAGCACAAGTTGATAACTATGCCTTCTCTTACGTAATGCTCCGTTTAATTTGAAGTATTTAAATTTAGAATTACTTTTGCTATTCCCATTCCTGTCCTTTTGTCTTAATGGATGGTTGTGTCATTGGCAATTATTTTTATCATCTAGTGAACATGCTTGACTAGACGTTATGGGTTTTGCTTATTTTTGACGGTCATACGGCGACATTTAGTAGCTTATATCCGCGCCATGTGGACTGTGGCGGATAGTTGCCTTATTGGCTATCATATCCGTGACATCTCTTTATTTTCAGTATATCAAATATTTGCCACCGGAAATGAAGCAAAAGACAATCAATCATTATTTTTTTATATAATATGTTTAGAAGTAGTATTATTTTCCACAATATAAATTGAATTATTTGACAGGCCATCACACTACTACAGACAAGGCGAGGCATGTCTCAATTTTATCAATTGTATCTCCTATCAAAACTCTCTGGCAAGGATAATTAAAGTCCTACTATGAAAATCCGTGTCTTTGGTATGCTAGAATTGTGGACATGGTTCACCATTTAAACTATTTTTTAACGTGACTTTTCCTGGTACAGCACGTGGGTGGTCATTATCTGGGACTACTATATTAGTCCCAGTCATTATCAGTTCCATTTTAAGATTACATATTACTATTGCACAAATCTGAGTGTACTTTCTTCTTGATTGACACTCCTTTGTCGTTCTTTTGTCAGCAAACAAATTTCAGACAATTTTTTCCTTATTCATAAATGTATCTTATACCTATATCTAAGTGTAATAGTCCCAGCTTAAAGGGATTTACATCAACTTAATGAGGAAGTTCGTGGTGATTCCCTGATCTTTCGTTTTCTCTTTTTATATAATATCCAGATTCATGGCGATTTAGAGCTAGATATATTGTATTATTTGATAATTGTCTTTTAAACTTTTAGATTTATGTTGTAAACGTTTTATTGTTCGATTGCTGATCGTTTGCAGTATACACAATATATTCTTTCAATCGCTGTGAAAAATTAAAATGGAGGTTAAAAGGACGTATTTTTTGCTGGAGGGTGCTGTTGCTACACTCTCCGTCACAGATGTGTCCATATATGGCCTAATTATACAAATTCATTATCAACTGTATATAAAAGCTGAAATCGTCAGTATATAATACTGTGGTGCAGTCTATGTATAATGACCAATAGCTCTTTGCGCTGATGCAACGTCAAACGATCATTATCGTCTATCACCAATAGGATTACGGTAATAACATGCACGTTAGGTGTACATGTATACATGGTCATTTTAATTTCATTTTGTTATATGATACAGCTTTTATTTACGTAACACAAATTAGATAATGCCACGAAAGTTTTTTTTGCAAAATCACATAAAGCAACTAAAAATTTTAACAAAATCACGTAAAGCCACTAAAAATGTCATCGGTTAAGTTTATTAAATACCAAGATATTACCAAAAAATGGACAAAACAGTAAAAGTTAAAAATATACAGAGACAAATAAAAGAACACTATAACACGTATTGAAGATGATAACCAACGTCAGTACCTAGAATCTATACTTCAAGACCATCATGTATAATGCAAGGTCTTAGTATCTTCCGATGTTTTTTTTAGAAAAAGGACGTTCTTTGACATAACCCTGGTTTATCAACTTTCTGCTGAGACACTGGTGATGTTTTATAAACGGCATAAGTAGCAGCTGCAAGCTAATGAATACCGAATGAGTTGGTAATTTGCTGCCATGGTGACAATAGATAACAAATACAATAATAAAAAAGATAAAAAATACAATAGATAACAAATACAATAATAAAAATAGACAGAAATACAATAGATAACAAATAAATAATAAAAATAGATAGAAATACAATAGATAACAAATAAATAATAAAAATAGATAGAAATACAATAGATAACAAATAAATACTAAAAATAGATAGAAATACAATAGATTACAAATAAATACTAAAAATAGAAAACAAATACAATAGATAACAAATACAATAATAGAAATAAAACTACACAAAAATGCACATGGAAAAAAGTGTTCACGGCGTCATGGAATTAGTTAGACGGAAAGCTCAGAACATAGCATAAAAGTTAATTTGTTCAAACGAAATAAAAATTTAAAAACCAACTACGTGGTCTTGTGGTAGCGTATTTGCTCTAAGTAATACGCATAGGAAATCAAAGGTTAGACCCCAGGCCGGATCAAATCAGAGATTTGCTGCTTATCCGCTACGATCGCGGCATTTAGGAGTAAGCACAAAGACTGACCGGTTCGGAGTCAGACTATAATGTTTAAGAAGGGTGACAAGTCATCCTGCAGTCTGTTACTTTGTGAACTAGCTTATTTAAATTCCGGTTCAGCATGTACGTCTAATACAAGTCAGGGTTCATATTCATATCTAAGAAAATTTCTCGTCCTTAGTGTTATGCATTTAATAATAGCCCAATGACGCTAAAACCCAACTCGTCATCATAATACAGTTTGATTTTCCGATGACTCTTAGAAAACAATATGTTATGTTACATTAACCAGTTATTAACTAGTTTTGACAGTCATGAGCCCCAAAAGGCAAAAATCGTCATCATCGTATATCAGAGCTGTGGATCGAAAACAAAGTAAAATGTAAACTTTTGATCTCGAAAAATAAACTTTCATTTAAAACAAAATATGAAATGTAAATAATAATATATGTTGACAAAATGTGTAGCTGCTCAGATACTTTTAACTAATAATTTAGTCAAGCGATATAATAAATAGGTTGTGTTCGTGCTATGAATTATTTACATGAACTTGTGATATTTATACAATATGATTATTTCCAACTCAGTTCTTTCTAGCAAAGAAAAAACAGATTTTTTTTCTGGCAGAAAAAAGAAAAGAATGGCCATTCCTTACATTTTGAATTTTAATGTATCTTAATGCCTGATACAGCATATTTTCTTGTATTATTATTTTGTTCAATTATTATAGCTTGCATATTTTATAGAATGTTATCTTATATTAAAAACTCAAAGTAAGGATACGAAATGGCATGCGACAATTGTTTTAAACTTTTAACTTGTAGCTAGTTTTCAGTTTGCTCTTTGCAAAACGTTATTCAGCTTTAAAAAGAAGGCATAAAAACTGTTTTATAGGAATATATTTTAGATCATCATACAAAATATGGCATTGAACTCCGCGTCGTTATAAACACCCCAACTCATAGATCTTTTTGGGGGATGGTAATTTAGTTTTATGTTTGTTGTAGCCAATTTGTAGCTGGAGTATGCAAATCAAATTATATGAATGCCAGAAAAATGCCAACTTTTGTTTTGTATTTGGAAAACCTCGCCCTTCCTTATTTTCTCAGTAAGTCTCATACAAGCTGATGCTGAACAAACATGCGCTTGCGTACAGTTTATCTGTTACACAAAAAACCTTTCTGTGAACCTTCCAGTTATGGCACACATATCAGTAACACGCGGGCAGCGTGCAATCGGAAACGGGTTATTGACAATGTTTGTGGGATACCATGTCATAAACACTAACATGACCATTGGCTAACTCCGTATACATTAACTGTTTCTCATGATCATAAGCCATGTAATCTGGTTGTTCAATTTGTTTTTCGTCAACCATTTCGACCAGTCCCACGTCATATCTTTCATTATCTGATTTGTTCTTTGCGCAAATTAGTTTATAAATCATTGAAGCCTTGCGACTTGCTAAAAGCAAGGTATTTGTATTATTATGTGTATTCGGGAGTACAACCAAGCTTCTTGGACTTGGTACTTCTGCACGCCACTTAATATCCCCGCTAAAATCAAGGCAATAAACGGTCTTTCTCCCGATAACTGCAACATAAACTTCTTTCCTAATCATATCGAGTTGTAATCTGAAAGTATTTCCAGTGAAATATCCAAATTCCCAATTATTGTTTGGAATAACATGCATAGTCCCGCCATTATGACTTAATATAACGATACGACCGTCTTTGCCTTCAAATGCATAATATTTCAATTCTTACAAGAACATTATAATACATAGGCAAAATATATATAACGGTTTTAAAAGACAACGCTCAATTTATAAATTTAAGTACGCAGTAATAAATAAAGGCAACAGTAGTATACCGCTGATCGAAAGTCATAAATCGATTGAGAGAAAACAAATCCGAGTTACAAACTAAAACCGAGGGAAACACATCAACTACCAAAGGAAAACAACGAAACAACAGAAACACTAAAGTGCAACAAAAAACAAACGACAATGTAACACACACAGAAATGAACTATAAGATAATAAACACGGATGTCTGAGAGCAGAATATGATTGCCAGACAACGGTTGCTAAGATAGATTGTTTTTTTATGGTGTCTGTTGTTTACTTTGTTGTTATGAAATACAGGGGTTCAGGGGTTCCAACATTTATCCGGCCTATGCAGTCTTGTTTTTATAAAATCTATAGTTTTCGGTTAATAAGTTTGATTTGGTTCAATGATACTCTGCTTCTATAAATATAGAATTTTATCAACAGATTATTAAGTTTCTTATGTCATTTTTATCGGTTTTCGTTAGAATACCAAATAAAACAAAATCTATTATATTTAAAATTAGTACTATTTATATATGGACAAGTCCAGAATATATTTTCTCTTGTCTCGACACCTCCACACCCAAAACTGCACTTATTTGTATCTTTTATACATACCTGTCCCAATTAAGCTCTGCTGTTCATCCGTAGTGTCTACTCCTCCGGTAAACATTTGAACGACTGAAATAAATATTAAGATAGGGCGATTTGAAAACACAATCACATACACATTTAAGTTTCTGAGTGATAGATTTCTTTAAAACTTTCACCAAATTATTCCATGGATATAACGATTTGGTTTGGAAGCTTTTTTATACCTCTAGAACACTTATTTTTAGCGGGATAGCACATCCTTATTTTACTCATTGTAGAAGGCCGTACGGTGACTTATAGTTGTTAATTTCTGTGTCATTTGGTCTCTTGTGGACATTTGAATGTCTCATTGGCAATCATACCACATCTTCCTATTTTTTATATTCTTGAAAAACATGATGCGTTAACGAAAAGAAAAAAAAGTTTTTATTGGATTTTTACGCCAATTTTAATTCATTTGCATGCCTATATCATCGCGGCCAGTTTTAACAGTAGAAGAGTACAGGAAATCCAAGTTAATTAAAATCAGTCGAGCACACCTTGCTGAAGCGGGGTTCGAACTCGAAACCGTGGTCTTGACAGGATATGGATCACTGTAGATGAAATAATTAAAAGAAGCCTCGAAAAAGAAAGGAGAACAAAGAAATAGTAAGTCAGACGAAGACTGATGCAGCTGTAATTGCCCTAGCCCTATTTGTTTCACTCACAAGGTCAAACATTGTAAAATGATTAATATAATATTAATATTGCAGAGTCTATAGTATATTCTATTAAAACATCTTTCAATATAGTAACATATGTCATTGAATCAACATTTATTTAGCACACCAACTTGCCTGTACAGTCATCATTGAAATAATATTGTAAGTTTTATAACTTGCATCGAAGGACAACTCAAACCAAAATAAATTGATATGTATCCGAAGAACAACATATCATTTAAGTTCAAATAGACATTAATAATGAGAGGGTTAAGCGCTCACAAACATGTTTAAACCTGCCACATCCTTTAAGTGCCCGTCACAAGTCCGGAGACTATCATTCCCTGGTTTTCGTTGGTTTATGTGAACAATTTTAGGCCGTTAGTTTTCTCCTTTTTTCTTCTTCACATTTTTTGTATCTGGTCTTTCTATTTTTCTCATTGTTGAAGGCCGTATGGTCACCTGTAAGTGCTTGCAATTGTATCTTCGTCATTTGAAGACCGTAATTTGACCTATAATGATTTACTTTTACAAATTGTGACTTGGATGGATAGTTGTCTCATTGGCAATCATACAACATCTCCTTATTTTTTTTAATTTTTAACATGTTGAATAATATCCTTCTAATACAAAAGAATGCATATCAATAAGACAGCTTTAGATACAGTAGGAATATATCATTTGGCCATACGTTAAGAAATAAGCCATACTATTTTAGAACAACAATGTACACCGTGTACATACTGTCAACACTGAAATATTAACGTTGGTGCTACTGTACACGAATTTGAGGGAAATTGTTTTAACCTCTAGGAAGACCGAAGCATTGTACATGCGAATAGATACATAGAAAGTAAAAGTGTATTAATTTGATTTAAGGTGAACACAGATTTTGAGGGCAAAAAATAAAAGAAGAAGACACAATTAAAATAAGATAAGTAATGTTGCGACTGAATACGCGACTAGAATAGCATAAAAAAGGAGAACTTTAAGAACGAAAAAAACCCCAAACAAACAAGCACACACGCGACTAGCATAGCAAGAAAAAGAGAACTCTTAGAAAGAAAGAAAAAACAAGTACACACGCATTTACTAATATATACTTATTTACCTTGCTGTATTCTTCTTGATTATCTATTGTGTAAAGAAAACGCAGTGTCTATGGACATTACTAAAACAGTTATGAAGGTACCAGCAAAGAATGTGGCAGTCACATAGTCCCAACAATTACAGGACCGGTCTAAATCTATAAAAAAAAATGCAACGGTTTCCAGATAATTGCAAATAGAATCTGTCAAAATATCAGCAAACCATTTTTTTCATTTGTCAGTGTCATTGTCATAGCAATCAATGGCCATAACTGATGAACAACAAAACGTAAAAATTGGCAGCCAAAACCCATCTTCACCTTTTGTTTTGTCATGAGTAGTAACATATTTTAATAAACGACCACAAACAGCATGAAAGTGTTCGTTTCCCAAGCAACCAATGTTATATTTGTAGAACTGATTTTGCAGATTCTTTTGTTTAATTTTAGAAATAGCGATCATGTTTGATGATGGAATTAATCTCCGAATAAATTTTACAAACCAAATTATCTTAGGAACATTCAGAAAAAGGTTGGTTACATTCGTTCAATATTTTCAGACAGAGACATGTCTGTGTTTCAGAGGAGAAGATTTTATAGTAAAAAAGTTTACGACGTCCAACGTAAAACGACGATGGATACAAAGTGATTGTAATACCTCACATATACCTTTTAATTTAGTCCCGATCAGTTTATAAAATTAATTATAAATACCAATAAGAAAAACGCAAATTTCAACAAACATATTTCATGCCATATAATTACTGACATTTTGTTGTTTCAGAGATTTAATGGCTAATAGACTTAGTGAAATAGATATAGCGACTGACCATATACAACCTTGTCGTTAAATTGTTTTGTTTCTACTATAATGTAGCAAAGGAGAATGCTCCAGGGACAAAATTCAAATTTGGAAGTTAATCTTCGCTATATAAAGGCATAATTTGTAAATCGCAATAGATGGACTAAACTGCTCGACTTAAACTCACATTACTGTTATGTAGACTCGTAAATTTTATTTCAAAAAATATATTTTAAGGGAATTCAAACAGTAGGTATCTTTTTCTTTTTGTTCACTTTTACATAACAGAATAAAGATTTACCTTGTTCGCGTTGTGGATTACTATTGTTTGCGGGCAGATAGTTTGGAACATACACACTATCATTACCACGCTTTGTACCATGGTCACACATCCAGGAACCTTCAGTGTCATTGTCAGGATTTTCAATTGTTACAATTGTTCTGTTTGAATCTAAGTACTGTACAGTATTTGGTGTTGAACATTCTCCCTCTTGTCCAGGATGTTCTCCCTTATGTCTAGAACGTATTGGTGCAAGACATTTTCCAACGGTTTCTCCGTGGGGATTTTTTATGATTACATCAAAGCCTAGCATGTCAACTTTACAGGTTAAAATAACTTTTCCATTCCTATAGTTAGCCTTGCGCAAAACACCAATATCTTCTAATGGCATGCAGGTACCTATTTTGGATGTAAAGTATAATAATTACTTAGGTGACGTACAACTATTTTCATTCTTCTATCTTTCTTCTAGAGATAGTCGTTTAAAAAGGTAGAAAACGGCAAATTTCCTTCAATTCTACTTCATATCTAAACTTGCTATCCTTTGAAATAAATATTGTGATCACGACGGATGCAACGTGTAGAGCAGAAAATGTTCTGTACCAAGTCAGAAATATGACAGTTGTTATCAAATAGTTCGTTTCTTTGTCTGTTGGCGTTGTTTTGTTGCATTTCAGTGTTCCTGTTGTTCCTTTGTTTCCCTCTTATAGTTGAGGTGATTCCCTCGGTTTTAGTTTGTAACCCGGATTTGTTTTTTCTGAATCGATTTATGACTTTTGAACACCGGTATACTACTGTTTACTGTTGCCTTTACTTACCCTTTCGGAGCACCCGAGAGCATCCCCCGCCCCCCATTTTTGGTGAGGTACGTGTTACTATATCTTTAGTTTTCTAGGTTGTATACAGTTGCTTGTCCTTTCGTCGTTTTTCTTTTTAAGCAATGACATTGATTGTTTGTTTTCAACATGAAATTCAAAAGTTCAGATATTTATTCAAACTTTAAAAATACTAAACATAACGTGCAGTTTTGATCATTTGGCTTGTTGAAAGATTTAATTCTTTGATTTTTGATTAACATATAGGAAAAGATAAAAGACTAAAAAGGGATACCTGTAACAAATGCGAAATGGAATAAAAATGAGACGAAACGAAATGAAATCTACCAAAACAAATAAAAAAGAAAACAATATTTTCTGCAAAACTAAATATATAATATAAACAAGAGGCTAATTTGTTTGATCTACAGGGTGAAAATGAGATGTTGACACACTTTGATTCTCTAAATAAATGAACAATATGCAGAAATGACTTGTCGACTTTGTGATTACTGCTCTATATTTGGTTATTAATAGTATGTGTCTGTATATTTGACTTGGATACCTCTATGAGGGGCTTCAATAATGGTATATATTTTCAGGTGCGAATCCAGAAATTTGAACAGGTTGAGGCCTAGTTAATGTAGCCAACGTTTGGACTGATGTTTGTAAAAAATATATGCATTTACCTTATATGTAGCTCCATTACATAGATGTGGGCGGGCCCCCTAAATTAGCCTCTGTTTTTAAATAACGAATAAAAGGAAATGGGATATTTGATTTTTGTATTAAGGGATAGTTCCGTTTTTGTTATTTGCGCATTTTTAAGTTATCGTATGACACTTGGCTCGAAACGGGAGTAATAGCTCGCTGATGCTCGCAATATAGCCTGTTTCTCAGGCTCGTACAAACACAGCTGATAATTAAAAACACTAAACAGTTATTATCTTTTATATACTTGCGAAATAGCAGTTAATCGATCTGATCGCATTTAATATCACTCGAAAATGCAAAAGCTGCTATGTTTTAGACTCCTTTCCGATTATTTACATAAAAGCATGTCATACTTACTCATAACAATCAATGCAAACCATGTTAAGTAGAAAAAAAATCAGGCCAAACACTCAGTCAAATAATATTAGAAAAGTATTATTGTATTGAAATGTTAGGTAAATTTTCTAAGCCTAATTAATAAGCGGGTATTTAGCATACAGGTTCAAAAATGATACTAATGATATCTTCAAATCTTGCCAAGTAAGTAAATATAACAAAAATATAATTTTATCATTAACATAAAACTTTTTTTTCATTTTTGTGCAGCTTATGGTAAGACCATCAAAATATTTCAACAAAAAGTGTAGTTAAGTAGATACCAAAGAAGAAATATGTGGTCCTTGTTGTTGGTTCACTTGTTTTTGAACACTGTCATTTCCCTCAGCATTTAACTTTTTCTAAAACAAATATCAGGCAGGGAAAGAAATTGAACCACCGTGAAAAAATTTTAATTTATAGTAGTTGAAAAGTGAACATTCCGTTTCACAAAATAATAAGTAGTTACTTTTAATCTATAAATGTTCTCCGATGTTTCCTTTTCTCTCATATCTTAATGTTTAAACAATTATCGAAAAAAACATGCAAACATTTATTTATATTGTATTTAACTTGTTAAATTGCGCAGTTTTATTGCTTTTAGGTAGGTACATATTTAAATAGTTTCATATTTCAATTGTAAACCTGGTTGGTTACAATTGACAATTGTTTATACAAATTGATATCCCGAAAATACACCCTTCTCTTAATCTCATTCAAACGGAATATTGATTTGCATCGTCAAAAATAATGCGAAAATTATGAAATCTGTTTACCTTCATGTATCTAGTACGTATATTTTACTTACCACCCATTATTAATACAACATGAAGGGGTTGATAACAAAAAACTATCTTTGTTATATGGACACTCAATATTAATGATAAAATTTGCAAATAAATCTTGAAATAAAATCTGGGAATAGTCAATAATGTCTTAGTTAAAACGCATAAAAAATTGTCAACCTCACACTTAAACTTGAAGTAACTTTCATTTTCAACTGATCACTATTTTTGGCTTAAAATTTCCATTGGAACATTGTCTTATGCAAGACAACTTAGATTAATTGAATTAAATCATACTAAATAGAAAAAATAAAACGACAGTTTTACCTATAATTCCAAAGACGAAAAACCAGTTTAGATAACGGGACGCCATTAATGATCTCTTAGCTATATCGTTAAATAAATATTTGGTTTTGCGCAGTAGAATTGTTATAGACATTTTTTTAAAGATCTAAAATACGTTGTGTTTATATTTCAGTTAATACAGGTAAATGCAAAGAGTACATGTATTTAAATATATTGCACTCGTTTACAAAATCAATCTAGTAATAGATTACAATTCTGGTTGTGATATTATATCACAGTAAAAACAAAAGTATATATAGACAATTATTTGCACTCAACCTTTGTTTATTTTTTAATATAAATTCTATTAGATCTTATCTACCCTTTACACCATCATACCGCATGAAAAATTAAAAACACGTCATAAAGAAATAATAATCCACCAAGCATTCCTCCATAAAAATAATTCCATACGCTACATGTACACATTTTTTGTGTAGGGATAATATTCTACATATTTCATTAAAAAAATTATTGTAACATCCCCAAAAATATGCCACAAGGACAAATGATCAGTATGCTGGACTTTCTCATTGACGACATATTTGTTGAAGTTGGAGGTAGAATTTTCAAGCAGGTTGTTGGCATTCCTAAGGGTACCCTGTGCACCTCTCCTTGTCGACCTTTTCTTAATTTCACACGAGTCGGAGATCCTTCAGACATTTGTTAAAAACAATAAGACCAAAGAAGCTATATTATTTAATTTCACATACAGGTATATTGATGAGGTTCTTTCCAAAACAATCCAAACATTTCGGATTCGGTCCAATTAATATATCCTCATGAACTAGAAGTTAAAAAAGTTTAAATACTTTTTCTTCCGCATCATTTCAAATTTGGTCAATATAACGGAACTACGAACAAATGTCACAAAAGTTGGAGGTAGAGAGCTACATGTAGCTATAGAACCAGGTTTAATCCCCATTTTCATAGGAAAATGCCTTTTTTCAAGGCAGTTGTTTTTCACTTGTTCCGTTGATTGATAGCGTTTGATTTTGTCATTTTTTATTGGCTCTGATTTTTAAATTCGCCGTTTAGGACGAATTTTTTGTGCTTTTGTACTTTTCTTCTAATTGGACACATTTAACATTTCAGGCTGGAGAACAAAAATAGAATCACTTTTGCTTTGATGACTTGAATACTCAGAAGATTTAATGTGAGTTCTATCTTTATACATTCATCCCATATTAATGTAATACGTTAATAATGCAAATTTCTCGACTGGTGGGAATGTCATAAAGTGGTCTTATTGCAGCGTGTTCACCTCATGTGTAGGAGGTTGTGTTCTATTCTCGGCCATGGTTCAGAGAAAAGATCTGAACATATCTCATATATTAAAAGCACGCGGCATTCAGTAGTTAAAGCATAAGTACATGTAAACACTATTGACTTTTTTTTTTTTTTAACTTTAATCGTACTTTAATAAACTTCTGTACTGAAATGAACTATAATTAATATTGTCATAGCTATAAATGCGCTGTTTACAAATATTTTTCTCGAAATGCTCAGGATTTTCGACCCCCAGGAATCGATTCCCAAAGCTTTAAATGGCAAAACCTTTTGGAAGTTTGGGTCATCAACGATCTTCAATACTTAATATGTACTTTATTTGACCTTTTAACATTTTTAATTCAAGCGTCACTGAAGAGTCTTTTGTAGACAAAACGCACGTATGGCGTACACATTCTGTTACTGTTATCTATTATGAGTTTATTTCAAGTGTTACCCTTTCACGGTTTCCGCTTATCAATTATCCCATTGAAATAAATACAATTTATAATGATTTTGTAGCATAAGACTAAATAACACAAACACATAAGCCAGTACAATGAATAGACCACACGCGTTACAAAATTTTATCTAATTTTGTACATTTTAAACCAACCCCTTGGGCTGTTTCTGCTTGGTCGGGTGACACATTCCTCATTTCCATTCTCAATTTTATCTTTCTCAGTAAATTAAAAAAAAATGCATTTTCTTATATTCAGGTGTCATTCGTAATTATGTGTGATCCAACTCAAAAGATATATTTCAGTTTATTACACCTTATTGGTTTACTTGTGTTTAGAAATATTATCATATCTACACTATTCCCACCCGACAGTAAAACCAATGACAGAGTTTGTACGTTTGCTAGTTGGGTTGTATAGAAATTTGCAGCCACTTCCGGATTAAATGGGAATCCGATGCCTCGGGTATGGAGAGTGTCACGATCACTGCACGTTATACAATTAGTGAACCGTCACAACAAATCATTGGGGGTCCATAGGTGACCAAGTGCATGGCAAAGTTTCCGTATCTATCAAATTCCCGACTTTCATCAAGGTCCATCTACTTTGCGGAAATTTTGTATTAGATTTATAGATCCTTGTTCTCGTCCTTAGTGTCTTGAACATTTTTTATATTATATAATAATTTTTTTATCATATATATGTCATAGAAAGTTTTTTGCAAAGATTCATATAGGGTAGAAATCTAAATCAAGCTGAATTTTTATGCCGTATTTACAATATTTATAATGGGGCTGATTTCATGGGTCACATATAACAGATTTATATACTTAAAATTGAGAATGGAAATGGGGAATGTGTCAAAGAGACAACAACCCGACCAAAAAGCCAAAAACTGCTTAAGTCGACCAATGGGTCTTTAATACAGCGAGAAAATCCCGTACCCGGAGGCGTACTTCAGTTGGCCCCTAAACAAAAATATGCACTAGTTCAGTGCTAATGGGCGTAATACTAAACTCCGAAATATATAAAAGAAACTAAAATTAAAAATCATACAAGACTAACAAAGGCCAGAGGCTCCTTACTTGGGACAGGTGCAAAAATGCGGCGGGGTTAAACATGTTTTTTGAGATCTCAACCCTCCCCCTATACCTCTAGCCAATGTAGATAAAAAACCAAACACACAGCAATACGCACATTTAAACTCAGTCCAAAAGAAGTTCGAGTCCGATGTCAGAATAGGTAACAAAAGAAACTAAACAAAATGACAATGATACATAAATTAACAAAGTACTACTAGCAGTTACTGACATGCCAGCTCCAGACCTCAATTAAACTGATTGAAAGATTATGTCTTCATCATATGAATATCAAGCACAATCCCTCCCGTAAGGGGTTAAATATCATACCATCATAAAATATATGAGAAGAACATAACCCGTATCATGCCAACAACTGGTTTTAGAATGAAAGTGTTTATTTCCGATGCAATGACCCTATAAGTGAATCATATTAAATCCGCAATAAGTGGTGCACAGTTAGTCCCGATTGAAATTTCGATAACTTGACGATATACAGAATCTCCAAAGCGAACAAAAATGTTATCTAGTAAAAATTCAAGGGCAGTTATAGTATCAAAGCATGTCAAATTGACATAGTTCGTTTGTTTGTTATTACTAAAAAATGACCTAAAAGAGTTTGAACATATATATTCGCATTCTGACTTTTTAAATGCCCATCTAATTAGGTGTGTGAAATTTTTCTTAATAAGAATATGAGGCAAAGTGGTATATAGGGTAGCAAAATCAAAACTTTGAACAGATTCAAAATCACCAATATAAGCATGCAATTTATCAAGTACTTCCAACGAATTTTTTACACTCCAAAAGTAATTAATTCCACTATTTTCAAAGGCCTTATTTGAACAATTAATTACCAGGTTTTTGATTGTACCAAATGTACTAGTAGGTAGAATAGACAGTTTAGTAGTGGAACAAAGGCTTGAAGACGAACTAAATCTATATTTGTAAAGTGTTTTGTGCAGCTTAATTATCATGTAATCGAATACACATAAAACAAAAATAAATTTAAAAGTGAATGAATGAACTTTATTCGCATAAATCTACGTGTCATAGAAACAGAGATAATTGATATTTACAATAACTAAATAAATTTGACGTTATCGATTTATTCAGCAAGATATATATAGATTCTACCACTGCATCGAGTGTGATACAATATTTATCAACTCGAGACAGTTAAATTTTCAAATTTAAAACGCGAGGCTCGCCGAGCGTTTTAAATATTTAAAATTTAACTGTCGAGAGTGGATAAATATAGTATTACACGAGATTTGGTGGTGGAATCTGTTTCTCTAATGATTTTCAAACAATATGCAGGCAAACTTGTTCCTTCTTTTTGAATGATCTGCAAAAAGATGTGTTCTTTCTATGTGACGTCATCAGGCATGGTCGCCTTTTTTCATGCCGTCACAATAGGAAATTCATATGAAAGCAAAAAAATTCGACGTCATAATCGGATTTTAACCAATGAAAAACTGAGATCAAAGGAACCACACGTTGATTAAATTTTTTTATACAATGGGTGCAGAAAGGCATAAATTGACGAAGAATTAGAGAAATACAGTTCTAAAATTGTAGAACCCGATTGTTAATGCCAGTTTAAAAGTTTGCGTTTTTTTCAATAGTCGCTTTCGACGTTAAAGCTAGGTAAACAAATACGCAATTCTGACAACAGATTTCATTTTAATTGTAATTTAAAACCATTCAACTTTCAAACATATTTTATTTTGGATAATTAAACAAAGCAAAAGAATTTTTCATGAAAAGAAATCAATATTATTGAGAAATCGACTAATGTACTGAAATTTATAGTCCAATCGCGAATGAAGGGAGACAAGCCTAATAAATCTGCACAAACTATTATTGGCACTGAACACTACTGAAAATTCCCAAAACAACTATTTTATCGATGTACTGATTTGAAAGAAAAACGTTTTTGACGCTTCTTAATCGAATGCAAGGCGTTTTCTCTTAATTATCTGAGTCAGTACTGGATTTCCTGCGCGGATCAGGGTACTGAACACGTACTGAATAACTGAAAAAGACCTCGACATTTTCCTTGCGATTAATTCAGACATTTAAGAGTTGTTCAGTTTAAAATGATCGTTTCAGTAATAAAAACAGTTACTAGTGATATATTTGTAAGTGTTTCATTATCGCATGAGACAGGCTTCATACAGACCCTCCCGATGAACAGAAGCTGGTGGCGTTCTTTAACTTTATGTTGATGTGTTACTTATATAATTCATCTTGCCTAATAACTCAAATTTCAACTTTGATTACATATATCCCATTGATATTGAAATAAAATAAAAAACACATATACTATCCACTTCAATATTTGACCTTTATCTATAACATTATAAAGAATTGTCGGTTTATTACTCAGCTTTATAATCAAATGTCTAATGATAATTAAAACGGAAATTTATGTATCAACAACATATAGTTTTTCAAGAAAAATCTATGTATTAAAAATTAGAGTATTGATGATTTTAAGACAAAATTAAGAAGTATTTTTCTGCCGATTTCATGCGATTTTTATACAAATGTTTACCTATTTTCAAAGTATTCAATCAGCAATATTTCAAATGATAAAAGAGATAAATGCATTATTTTTTTTGATTTTCAGTTCTAGTTCATCGAGCCAAAATGGAATGCCAAACTTAATCAAAATCTGTGACAGAGCCCATTTACTGTTCCTGAACCTTAAACAATACATCATGCTCTTAGATGCTTAAAATACATTTTTTAAAATTATTAACAAAACTACAAATGAAACTACATGTACAAGTACGATATTCAGTCTAAACAAAACTTTGCATTTCCATTATGTTTGAACTGCATTAGAAACTCCTCGATTATGTCAGAATAAATTAAAGGAGATACACTGTAATGAAACATGAAAAGAACACATAACAATATGTGTAGCTGGAGTCTATTCTAAAAACAGATAACAATATGTGTAGCTCGAATCTATTCCAAAAATACATAACAATATGTGTAGCTGGAGTCTATTCCAAAAACACATAACAATATGTGTAGCAGGAGTCTAGTTCAAAACACACATAACAATATGTGTAGCTGGAGTCTATTCCCAAAACACAAAACAATATGTGTAGCTGGAGTCTATTCCAAAAACACATAACAATATGTGTAGCTGGAGTCTATTCCAAAAACATATTCAAATCAATGTCTGTTTACGCCAATAGAAAATTAAAGTGAATTGACTTCTTTATTTTAATACTAAAAAGGTATATTTGGAAGTCTCAAAAGGTTCAAATACAAAGAACTAGCTGTTATAAAAAAAAGACGTTTTGTAAAATCCCTGACCCTGAAATATA